ACTTACAGTTAGTCTGGCAATCGAAATTTCCTTTCCCACAGAACTAAGTCAGACCTCTGGGATGTTGCTGAGGGACCATTTCCTCAGAAGTTATTAGCTGGGGGCTGCATGCAGACTGCAGCTGGGACTGAGCTTAGTCAAGGTTGGCAGAGCCAAATGTGGCTGGGACCAATCCCTTTTCTTTCTGACTCTCAGAGAAGGGACAGACATACCCTCCAACCAGCGGCGTAGCGTGGGTTGTCAGCACCCGGGGCAAGGCAAGTAATTTGCGCCCTCTAACCCGGGGCAAGGCAAGTAATTTGCGTCCCCTAACCCCTAACCTGCCGCCGCTGCCAGCTTCTTCTTGCTGCTGCCTGGTCTGGTCTGGTGTGGTTCTCTCCCACGCTCAGCGCTGCGCTGGGCGGCCGCTGCACTGTCCCTCCCCCAGATAGTCCCTTGCTCTCTCTCTGCACCGCACGCCTGGCACCCACCCCCTCCACAGTGGGCGGCGACCCAGCGGCTCGGATCGGATTCGCACAGCCAGCACTGCAGTGAGAGAGAGTGAGCCAGGTAGGGGCAGAGAGCTGCGAGTGCGAGCGCGCCCCCCCAGATGTTGCGCCCGGTGCAGCCGGCCCCCCTGCACCCCCCACGCTACGCCACTGCCTCCAACATTTCTTCAGTGAAAATAGGGATATTCTATTTTGTGTGTGTGTGTGTTGTTGTTGTTACTCACTTGAGACACAAATCTCTATACCAGTGTTTTTCACCATTGAGTCCCTGCCCTCCAACATTTCTCCGATAAAAATAGGGATGTCTTATTCAACAACAACAACAACCACCATTATTTATATCCCACCCATCTGACTGGTTTGCCCCAGCCACTCTGGGCAGCTTCCAACATATATAAAAAACATAATAAAACATAAATAAAAAAACTTCCCTATCCAGGGCTGCCTTCAGATGTCTTCTAAAGGTTGTAATCTCCGGGTCACCTAACTCCATACCCTCCAACATTTCTCCAATTAAATCAGGGATGTCTTAAGGAAAAGTGGGACATTCCAGGATCAAATCAGAAACTGGGATGGCTTCTGTAAATCCAGGGCTGTACCTGGAAAATGGGGGTACGTGGAGGGTCTGGACAGATCACTCTTCTGAAGCGACCCCTTGCAGCAAGCTTCTGAAATAGGTTGCCAAGGGGTTCTGGGGCTGCAGATTATTCGCCACTAGGTTAGTGTGCCAGGAAATGTACCTTCCGCCGTTGCATCTTCATTTCTTTGAAAAATACTTGTTCCACATCCTCTTACCTTAAACTCGGTGATTTCTTTGATTCTCTAAAACAGGCTTGAAGTATTGCTAAGGATAAGTAACTGACTTAAGGCTGGTCAGTCTTTGGGGAGTTGCGCATGCTAATTCTGTTTTATCTCACCACCACAAAAGGGATCTAGTTCTGGGTGTGGCACTCCTGTGGTTCTCCCAACAAGTAAAGGCCAAGTTGGCAGAAATCTGCGTGGAGTGAACATGTGGCTTAGATCAACTGCACTTGAGATGGTACCCAGATGAGGCTGAGTGAAAGCTTATTCATGCCACATGAGGAGCATTATGGGGCTCACTGGGTCTTTGGGTGCTGAAGGATCACATGACACTGTTATAGAGGAAGAGGTTTTCAGAGGCTGCCATTCCGTAGCACATGCAAGTGAGGCCAAAGAACCATCGCTGGTGCAACTATTAGAGGCCATTCAAATCAGAGAATAATTAAAGAGTGGGAGGAAGTGAAGGAATATATGAAAAAATATGGTTCCGGAACTGGAATGTTAATAGATAACATGTAAAATGTGCAGGGGTAAGCGAGGAAATAATAAAAGAATCAGCTGAACAATGATTAAATTATAACAACAAAACAAGACGGAAGAAGTAAAAAAATGAGATCTCACATGGGTGAAGGGGAACAGGGGGTAGAGGGGAATTTGAAATATTATTTATAATATAAAAGCTTTAATATAAAATTTCTAACGGTGTTGTATTTGTATACAGCAAAGAGAAGTTTAGAGTAATTAGGTATATTTTAATTTCGTTAATTATGTAATAGGTTTATGTTAGAAAATGAATATGGATGTTGAATTTGATGTTTGTAATTTTTCTTTTTTCGGTTTTGGAAAAGAATGATGATGATGATAATAATAATAATAATAATAATAATAATAATAATAATAATAAAGAACCATCGCCAGTGCTACTTTTCTAGAAGAAGAGGTGTTGGAACTCACCATGAGCACGTCAGTTTGCATTTCTTACTACAGGGAGTATTGATCTGATATGTAGAGATCTTTCTTATTCTACTTAATTCAAGAGGGTTCTGGAAGGTTTCTTTCTGTGTGAAAGAAACAAGCAGAAGGACATGATGTTTGGGTTATACCTTCTGAGAAGCTGAGTACAGGTGGTTTAAACTGGTTCTGTTGTCTCTTCTGTCAAAGTCATGCTGACTATAATAGTCAGGCCAGAAGGAGCCTGGGGTTCACACTTTCTCTTTCTATCTCTTTGTTCTGGTGTGGTGTTCTGTATGCTAGAGCGTTAAGGTTTAGTTTTTGTGAGTTATTATAAGTTTAAGTTAAATCTGCTGCAACTGGATTTTTTATGGACAGTGCCAATCCTGGATGTATTGGATTTGTGACCATTATGCTCCTTTGCCTTCAGTAGCAGTAAAGCTCTGCTGGATGAAGTACAATTGCCTCTGGTCTATTTTGGGGGAATATTGCAACGTGTTTTAAGTTTTTCCTCCGCACGTCAGAACACCTCCCTCGTTCTCTTAGAATGGCAATGGCGCCCACCGGAGAGGACGAATTCCGGCTGAAAAAAAGCCCCGACCATCGCCAACAATCAATGCATAATAGCCCTACTCTTTTCACAGCTCCAGATACTTAAAATACGGCAAGTGCATATGGATTAACTCATCTGATGAAAGATGGGGGATCAATCACATAGCCTTGGGTCACTAAACAATAAACTGTTAGACAAAGAGGCAGAAGGAACAGAGTTCAATGAATTAGGGTAGACACTTCTTTTGGGGGGGGGTATAAGAATTGTAAGCCAACAGCTATCAGGTTTTGTTCAACACGAATATCACATTTCCTCTGTCCAGCAGTCCCTTATGTGTGGAGGAGCTGTGACATGCACACAGAGTTATTTTGCTGCTGCTGCCAGGCTTTTCCTATCCACATATGTTGTTGTTGTTTAGTTGTTTAGTCGTGTCCGACTCTTCGTGACCCCATGGACCAGAGCACGCCAGGCACTCCTGTCTTCCACTGCCTCCCGCAGTTTGGTCAAACTCATGCTGGTAGCTTCGAGAACACTATCCAAAAATGTCGTCCTCTGTCATCCCCTTCTCCTTGTGCCCTCCATGTTTCCCAACATCAGGGTCTTTTCCAGGGAGTCTTCTCTTCTCATGAGGTGGCCAAAGTATTGGAGCCTCAGCTTCAGGATCTGTTCTTCCAGTGAGCACTCAGGGCTGATTTCCTTAAGAATGGATAGGTTTGATCTTCTTGCTGTCCATGGGACTCTCAAGAGTCTCCTCCAGTACCATAATTCAAAAGCATCAACTATTCGGCGATCAGCCTTCTTTATGGTCCAGCTCTCACTTCCATATATCACTACTAGGAAAACAATAGCTTTTACTATATGGACCTTTGTTGGCAAGGTGATGTCTCTGCTTTTTAAGATGCTGTCTAGGTTTGTCATTGCTTTTCTCCCAAGAAGCAGGCGTCTTTTAATTTCGTGGCTGCTGTCACCATCTGCAGTGATCATGGAGCCCAAGAAAGTAAAATCTCTCACTGCCTCCATTTCTTCCCCTTCTATTTGCCAGGAGGTGATGGGACCAGTGGGCATGATCTTCGTTTTTTTGATGTTGAGCTTCAGACCGTATTTTGCGCTCTCCTCTTTCATCCACATATAAGAAGGAGAAAATCCCCTATGCACATTTTCCTATTCTTTCCATCGAAATGAATAGGAAGTAACCATGTGCTATGTTTGGATATCAGAGTGCACGAGAGGCCCTTGATAAGGTGATCGGTGGAAAAGGTAGCATAGATACTTCAGACCTGGTGCAGATTTTAAAAAATAAAATAAAAATTATACCCCATTTTCTCCGCAGCAGGAGACAGATTTGTCATTTTCAACAATTATCCAGCCTTTAAAATCAGGGTATAATGCTTTTCAAAATGGGCTTGCCAGATGTGCAGAAGTACAAATGCAATCTTTTAAATCATGATGAATAACTCCTCATTTATAAAATCAGCTTCTCTGGAAATGGTTCCACTCCATGTAGTAATAATCATTTCTGGCCCTTATCATCCCGTACATTCCAAAGGCAGTCAGTCGGCCATAGGCAGTAATTTAACAACTTATCAACTGCAGGCTCCTTTCAGCCAAAGGGGCATTTTATATTATTTAAGATACTTCACCATACATTGCCATCAATTTCAAACTTTATCGTCCCTAGTTGTTAAAATGTTTAATACAACACTACTCTTCATAACCTGGGGGCACGAGGGCCAAATCCCACTCGTGTTCCTGCAGAATTATCTATTGCACAGAGTTGATTGTGTTACTGGGAAAGAAGTGAAGGCAAAGCTGAGATAGAAAACTATTTTTCCAGTCTGGTGAGAAGATAAATAAGGGCTGAGGGTTGATTCGCACAGCCTGAAAACCGACCGTGTTTTCTATCTGGCTGGTACTTTCATCAGTCCATGACAGCGATGAGAAGCCTGGGGCCTTGCAGAGGTTGTCGGAGTCTTGTTCCCATCATCATCAGCTCCAGCCATCAAGACCAATGTCCAAAATTGATGGGAGCTGTAATGCAACAACTTCTGAAACATCACTTGCTGAAGGCCTTGTGCAGGGATAATGCTGCGAGGGAACCAAACTGCTTCGGTAAAGGGTGTGTATGCTCCGTGAAGCCCACTTCATAGAATCGTAGAGTTGGAAGGGACCACAAGATCATCTAGTCCAACCCCCCTGCAATGCAGGAATCTTTCACCCAACGTGGGGCTTGAACCCACAACCCAGAGATGAAGAGTCTCACACTCGACCAACTGAGCTACCGTATTTTTCGCTCTATAAGACGCACCAGACCACAAGACGCACCTAGTTTTTGGAGGAGGAAAACAAGAAAAAAAGTATTCTGAATCTCAGAAGCTAGAACAGCAAGAGGGATTGCTGCGCAGTGAAAGCAGCAATCCCTCTTGCTGTTCTGGCTTCTGGGATAGCTGCGCAACCTGAATTCACTCCATAAGACGCACACACATTTCCCCTTACTTTTTAGGAGGGAAAAAGTGAGTCTTATAGAGCAAAAAATATGGTATTCAGCCTCAATTTAGTGGTGATGTGTACTAGAAGAAGAAGAAGAAGAAGAGTTTGGATTTGATATCCCGCCTTTCACTCCCCTTCAGGAGTCTCAAAGCGGCTAACATTCTCCTTTCCCTTCCTCCCACACAACAAACACTCTGTGAGGTGAGTGGGGCTGAGAGACTTCAGAGAAGTATGACTGGCCCAAGGTCACCCAGCAGCTGCATGTGGAGGAGCGGAGACGCGAACCCGGTTCCCCAGATTACGAGACTACCGCTCTTAACCACTACACCACACTGGCTCTTAGCAGGCTAAGAGATCATTACATGTAAAACTGATATCTTTGTATATGGTGGCTGTCAAGATCACATAACACTGGTCCTGAGAGACCTACATTGGCTCCCAGTATGTTTCTGAGCACAGTTCAAAGTGTTGGTGGTGGCCTTTAAAGCCCTCGGCCCAGTATACCTGAAGGAGTGTCTCCACCCCAATCGTTCAGCCCAGACACAGGTCCATCATGGAGGGCCTTCTGGCAGTTCCCTCCCTGTGAGAAGTGAGGTTACAGGGAACCAGGCAGAGGGCCTTCTCGGTAGTGGCGTCTGCCCTGCAGAACGCCCTCCCATCAGATGTCAAGGAAATAAACTACAGTCATACCTCATGTTAGGTTTGCTTCAGGTTGTGCGTTTTCAGGTTACGTCCTGCGGCGACCCGGAAGTACCAGAAAGGGTTACTTCCGGGTTTCGCCACTCGCGCATGCGCGGACGTGCAAAATGACGCCACACGCATGCACAGAAGCAGAGAATTGTGACCCGCACACGCGCAGATGTGGGTTGCATTCTTTTCAGGTTGCAAACGGGCCTCTGGAACGGATCCCATTCGCAACCAGAGGTACCACTGTACTTGACTTTTAGAAAACATCTGAAGGCAGCCCTGTTTAGGGAAGTTTTTAATGTTTGATGTTTTAGTGTAAATATTCTGTTGGAAGCCGCCCAGAGTGGCTTGGGAGACCCAGCTAGATGGGTGGGGTATAAATAATAAATTGTTATTATTATTATTAGTAGTAGTTGTAGTAGTAGTAGTATATGGTGCTCATTCCTTTTTGAGTGGTAGTGGTAGATTTAAAACAAAAAACTTGGAAATGATTTTAACTTGTTTGGTCTGTCACTGCTTGGCTCAGTTGGTGGCTGGAGTCTAGAAACACATGTGTTCAAACAAGGTGGTAGATCCTGGGGCCATGTTCTCACCACAAATATCCTACGACCTTCTCTACTCAGATGTCAAGGAGATAAAGAACTATACAACTTTTAGAAAACATCTGAAGGCAGCCCTGTATTGGGAGGTTTTTTAATGTTTGAAGTTTTACTGTTTTGTATTTGTTGGAAGTTGCTCAGAGTGGCTGGGGAAACCTAGCCAGATGGGTGGGGTATAAATAATAAAATTATTATTACTATTATTACTATTACAGTGGTACCTTGGTTTAAGAACAGTTTAGTTTATGAACAACTTGGATTAAGAATGCTGCAAACTCGGATGTAGGTATTTTGGTTTGTGAACTTTGCCTTGGATTAAGAACATGTTTTGCTTCCTGTTGAGTGTGTTCCATTTGTAAATTGAGTTCCCCGCTGCTATGGGAAAGTACACCTTGGTTTAAGAACAGACGTCTGGAACAGATTAAGTTCGTAAACTAAGGTATCACTGTGTTATTATTATTATTATGCTAGATTAACCATGACCAAGTATTGGATTCTGGTTCTAGGACAACAAGAGAGGACTTTGTTGATACTTTTGCTCATAGGGACCTAGAATTACCCAGTGGCTAATCATCTGGCCTTGATTCTAACATGACTTTCTTTTTTTAAAAAATATTTATTTTCAAATTACAATTTTACAATCACATATCCAACATACAGCATAAAAACAAGATTCCAAAGAATCTCCTGGACTTCCCTCCTCCCCTTTGTGGATCCTATTATTAGTCATTTCCTCCTGCATCTTTTATACTAATCCAAATCTTTTACATCTCCAAAATTCACCATTGAACTCTACAAGTCTGGTCTTGGTTCTACCATGACTCATCAGTTTCAGGCACCTGGGAGCTTTGAATCTGGACACATTTTTCAATGTCTTAAGTATTTTTTAATAGCAGGAAGTTCAGAAATAACACACAGCCTTCTAGAATTGCTAGCACTCCTCAGTGTTTCATTAAAGTGTAGGATGGTAAAACATAAGAGGTAGAATCATAGAATTGTAGTGTTGGAAGAGACCCTAAGGATCATCTAGTCCAACCCCTGGCAAAGCAGGAATATACAGTTGTCCCACACAGGGATAAAACCTGCAATCTTGGCGTTATCAGCAACACACTCTAACCAGATGAGATAACATCCCTGTGGACAACAGGTTGGTGTTTGTGTGTGTATATACAGTGGTACCTCGGGTTAAGTACTTAATTCGTTCCGGAGGTCCATACTTAACCTGAAACTGTTCTTAACCTGAAGCACCACTTTAGCTAATGGGGCCTCCTGCTGCCGCTGCGCCGCCGGAGCACGATTTCTGTTCTCATCCTGAAGCAAAGTTCTTAACCTGAAGCACTATTTTTGGGTTAGCGGAGTCTGTAACCTGAAGCATATGTAACCTGAAGCATATGTAACCTGAAGCGTATGTAACCCGAGGTACCACTGTATATATCTGCACAGAAACAATCTTTCTGCTGTATCAGCTCAAACAACCATGTAGTCCAGTAGCCATCAAAGTTAGGGCTGCCATATGCCTCAGTTTCCCCAGACACATCTGGGAATCGGGCTTGAAAATGGCGTCTGGGCAGATTTTTGCTGAATTGGCAAAATGTCTGGGAAAACCCAGACGTATGACAAGTAGACATGAGTCTGACCAAACTGCGGGAGGCAGTGGAAGACAGGAGTGCCTGGCGTGCTCTAGTCCATGGGGTCATGAAGAGTCGGACACGACTAAACAACAACATGACAAGTAGGGTGATTAAAAAAAACCCAAACAAAAAAACCTTAGAAAATCCCAGAAAATCAGATCAAGCAAAGGCCTGGTTAAAAAAGAATGTTTTTGCCTGGTGCCTAAAGGTGTATAACGAAGGCATCAGGTGAACTTCCCTGGGGAGAGCATTCCACAGATGGGGAGCCACTGCAGAGAAGGCCCCGTTCTTGTGTTGCCAGCCTCTGGACCTCTTGAGGAGGAGGCACACAAAGAAGGGCCTCAGAAGATAATCTCAGGATCTGGGCAGGTTCATATGGAAAGAGACGGTCCTTGAGGTATTGCGGTCCTGAGCCATTTAAGGCTTTAATAGGTCAAAACCAGCACTTAGAATTGGGCCGGGAGACTAATTGGTAGCCAGTACAGTCAGATGAAGATCGGTGTAATATGTTCAAATCGTCTTGCTTCGGTGAGCAACCTGGCTGCTGAATTCTGCACTAGCGGAAGTTTCTGAACCGTCTTCAGAGACAGCCCTACGTATAACGCATTGCAGTAATCTAACCTTGAGGTTACCAGAGCATAGACAAGATTGAACCTGAGACCTGCAGATGTTCTACTACTGAACAACGGTGCTGGGACCCCACCCAACAGCTCTCCAACAATGCAACATGCCCTGAATCTAGCACTGCAAAGGATGCCTATATTGCAGATTACGAGTCTTCTTTCCTCTCTAGCTGCTGAGATGGCTTTTCTGTGCTGCTGTTGTTAACTTTGAGAGCAAATTTGGAAAAGTGGGATATATAGGATCATAGCTAGCAGGGAAGCCACAATAAGAACAACACGCTTGTTTCAAACGGGAGATTACAGCAGTAACTACTTGTGTATAACAAGCGGTGTTGCAGGAATAAGGTTTTTGCTGCGTGGCAGTTGTGCTTTGGCAACACCCGCCCTGCAACTGAGCGGTGGTGGCATAAGCGCGTGTCCTGTTTGTGAAGTCAAAACCTGTACTCCGTGATAAAGAGTATTTGACAAGCCAACAGAACAGAAATCACAAAATATGGAAGATTAGTTCCTGGAGGTGTTCCAAGATTGTAATAGAATGAGGATATTGATACGAGCTAGTTGCTATTCGCCACTGTTCTAGCGGCAGATGCCAAAAGATTGCTGTGACAATCTCTTTGAAGGCATTTGGAATTCTTTCCCTTTGAAGAAGAAACTTTGTAAACAAAACTTTACTTTTTACGAGATGAAACGGAAATTTCAGTAAATCAGAACGAAGCAGAGTGGATTTTTTTGGGGGGGGGAGAGAATGATTTTTCACACTGCTCTTTAGTTCTGTTCATACTACTTCAAGACTGTGTATCAAGCTCTTTAAAGAAGTAAAACCTTGTAAATGTAGCCTGGACAAACAAGCAAAAAAACAAAAAAAAGTAATTTGGCTAGCACACAATCTATTTCATTATTTTCAACTGTTAGCATTTTGGAGCTCAATATTTGTTAAGTTGTGGTGGCCACATAACGCATTGTCAAAAAATAGGAAATGCATCATCAAATTAGAGGACCAAAAAACACATATCTGGACATAGCTGTGATGGGATTATGAGCTGCTTGTGCGTAAAATCGTATTCCCTCAGAGTTTGTTCAAGTCCACAAACCTCTGTCTGTGACTGAGCCCCTCTGACATGGCTCCTCTAGTCACTAGAAGATTCCGACAGTGGTTGCTTTCGTAATCGCTTCCAACATAAAAGCTCCTTAACGGAAACACGTCTTCTGGACTCTCTGCGTGACAGTTTCCGGCGAGGAGTGGGTGTCGCTACA